TATAGCACGTGACAAGAACCTACAAGATAAAATGAGAAGGCCATCTGAATAGTTATTAAACCTCACAAATACCTAACATTATACACTACGAAACTAAGAATAAGGAAACAATTACACGCAAAGACATGCTTATTAAACGTTATTGCTGAAAGTGTACAAAGTAAATAAAAAATAAAATAAGTGAATGAGTTAATTAGAGATTATTTCAAGTGATTTTTTCTGAAAGGGTTTTTCTGAGAGGAAAAAAATAGCCCAAGTCATTCCTTACAAAGACACCTACATGGGATTATTTTTTTTATCAAAATCTGTGAAGCCGTTAAGAAGATTATCCGCAACAAGCAGACTGACAGACGGACAGACAAAAAAGCAACTGATTTTTAGGCATAGGTATCGTGCAAATAACTGTGTGAGCATGAAAAAAAAAACTATTATTTTGACGTTACAAACAGACCTTTCAATTTTATTAGTATAGATGAAGGGATTATGTCGAAGTATCTTTTCTCATAATCATTATAAATAATCTCCAAGTCATGTTTATTATTTAGATTTTAGGTAGCAATATCAAAACTTATGTGTGTGTTTTATATGATTACGATTTTCGAATGTCATCGAAGGAAATGTTCATATCATACCTAGTGATAAACTTAGCATATTTTAGGGTAGTATACTAAGTATATGGTCATTAAATCAGCTGTCATTTATATTTTTTTTTATATCTAATTAGTAGTTTCTTCCAATTTTAACTACGTGTTTATTCAATGTATTAGAAAATCAATTTTCTTCCTAATTTTTTCAAAATATTTCAATGGTTATTCTGCTATCCGGGCAGAGACAAATAAAAAAAAACAAACAATATAAAAATCGGTCCAGTCATTCTTGAGTGATGAAAGGTGTAACTAACACTTGTTTGATTTATTTATTAAGTTAAGATGTTGGTCTATAAAAATATCGAATTACGCACTTAGCATGTGGAATGAAGAAAAGTCAATGTTATTAATTCGGTAATTAATGTGATCAATGGGTACAGTCAGGCTGTAATCTTGGTCAGTGCAACCTGATCGTAACGTAGGTACGTAATAATTGCATCGAAAACTAAAGGTCAAGAGCATTAAATTTTATATAAAAATATCTGCTTAGGTACCAAATGGAGGAACCAATATCAGTATATTTGTATTATTAAGTTATAATAATTACCAACAATGTTTAACTTATTCATAAATACATATTATGCTTGAACGGCGATTCTTACTAAGCGACAAAAAACCGTAATATAAGTTTTAAATACCGGTCAAATTATCAGATATTTCTACGTTACGTTCACGCAATAAAAATACATGGTTAAATATGTAATAGGTACACTTCACAGGAGTATTTTGAAATTATTCATATAAGCTATATCTTATTCATCCCGTGGGTGTCGTAAGAGCCACTGCAGAGAGCAGGAAAACTTGACACAAACCCTATACCTAACCCGTCTGGCCAGCATGGAGAGTCGGCCAAAACCTCCTTTATAAGGAGAGGCCTATGTCCACCAGTGGCCTGTTAAAGGTTGTTGATGTGATGTGAAGCAATATATTTACACTCAGTATATGTAGGTATAGAGGTTAGTGCTTGACAAATACGTGTTTTAAATCGCACCTACTAGGTTACCTTACAGTTATTAAGGAAATAGAAGCTTGATCACCCCTACCAATATCCAGACTATACACGTCGAACCGGTTTCTGTCAGCCATTACCAGTAAACGTTAGTTTTTAATAAGCAACGTCCTTTAGTAATAGATATTTCCGCATTTTGTACTCTAGAACTGTAATTAAAGCCACAGTTGTAATTGTGGCCGGTATTAATTGTTTTGCACATGTTTTTGATTATACCAATTGCGTCGATCTTTTTGCGGCTGACTGTCATTATCTCTCACGGCTAACTTAGCTGCTACTCTTTTATGTGGAATATCTAAAATATTCTTCTATTTAGAGCTTTATAAATATTACATATTGACTTATTTATTTTCGAAGAAGATCAAATTCTGGTTATTAAGTAGACAAAATTATTCTTTAAACTAATACAAAATGTTTGAAGTTTTGAACCGGTAATATTCTTAAAGGAATACGAATTGATAAAGTGATAAAGTGATACTTCTTTATAAGTATGAAGAACAATTATTCTAGGTGAAGTTTAAAATACTTGAATAATTAAAAATACTATATAAAATGGTTAGGTAGCAACAAGCATAATTTCAAATCATTATAATCAGTAGTTTTATTAATTGCATTCTTAAATTGATAAATGAAATAGGCGTTTGTCTTCCAATTTAATTGATAGAAGGTAACGTTAAAGTCGAAAGTTCTATACACACCTATCCAAGCAAATTACTCTATTCTTAAATGTAGGTTTCTAGAAAAAAGTATTTCCTCTCTCTAGTAGTTTGAGTGTGAATGACTCGAACTAAAATGGAGATGTAAAAATTGTACTTTTTGTGTAAGGTTAATAAAGATTGGAACCCTTTCTGGGGCTTGTAGTCCGTGACGGAAATGGCGAGGATTAAATTACATACGAATAAAGAAAACAATCGCACACTGACTAAAGTTAGTTTCATAAAACGCTACGATACGAATTTTATATCTTTTAGTAATAGAAATGGGTGGTCAAATAATTTTACGGCGTTAAATTTGAATTAAGATTGCATTACAATAGCACGGTACATGTATAATTTTGTATATTATTAGAAAATTTTGCAATTTAACGCATAAAGATCCCCAAGGTTTAGTATCAACGTTTGGTTGGCGATTTGCCAATTTCACCAGCCAGTCTGGACATTACAATAATCACTGTTTATTTTTGTTAACTGTTCTGTTTTAAAATTGCAATTCATAGCACCATCCCTGCGGCTGAAAAGTTTAAAAGTAACTCTTGTTTCATCACCAAATACACGGTGGTATACGTCTATCCACAAATTTGATACTTTAAAAATCAGTTCACAGACAATAACAAAAAAGTAAATTTTATACTAAGAAATTTTTAAAATAACGCGAAGATCAAAACACTGAGATTTCGTCTTTCAGTTGAGCTCGTTTTAAAAAATTTATGTAATTTGCTTGATGAAGAAAGCGTAACCTTTTTAAATAACTTATCTACCTACGAAGTCTCTCTTCTGAATTAAATATTACAGAAATTCAAGGCACGATATTTATGATTAATGTATATTTTTAGCAGGCATAGGTTAATTGAAATATGTAGACAGCGGCTCTTGGACGAGTTTTAAATTTTACGTAAATAAATGGTTACATTGACCATGATCAGAGGTTGAATGTAACACATTCTTTTAACCTGGTTTCTGTTTATTTTTCAATTATTTTTTTATCTTTGAGGCACCAATTACCTTCTATTTAAACATTCCTATTTTCGATAGCTGTTGTGTTAACAATCCAGTTATAGTTAGGTACGCCCGACAGAACGAGGTCAGCCATTGTAACCGACACTATAGCTAACATGCTTGCAATACGGCTTTCTCATGCTGTGGTCACCATGAATGCATGAATTGGATGTACTTTGTGTCCGTTTCATGTGTGTTTTTAAAGTCCCTCGCGACACATGATTTATTCCTAGTGCGGGAGTTGTCTTTTATATTTTTATTTTTTTTTATTAATTTTCACTGACTACTTGTCTAGTTTTAAACAGGTCATTTTTAACAAACTAAAGTCAAATATTTTGCTCAAGCAAAATATTTGACTTTAGTTTAGCTATGAAATTATTTAAACTTTTTTTTTTTATATAAGTATAGATGCCATTAGCATTTAAGTATTACAACATATAAAAAACTCAAATGAGTTAAACATTGAAAGTATAACGGGTTATCTAATCATTAAATAAAAATACTTTTGGGGTGGCAATAACATTATCTTTGTTGGAAAAAATGGTATGAGCTTTGACGTCAACGTTTGATAGAGGAGTTCGTACTGGTTCGTTCGTTGAAACCTACAAGTTTCATATTTTTACTAAATAGGTATATAGCGTATGTTTAGTCCTATTTACCAAGGCGGTATCTAATTGAAATAAATACAGCTGTATCTTAAGTGCTCCGTTTCACGACTTACCAAGTACAGAAATGACAATATTTGTTGAACTATTCAGACTTGTTTCATGTGAATGAACATATGTTACACAACTCTAACGATGGTACTTAATATAAATTATACAACTTGTTCTGACTTGTGATCCTCAGATCACATTACTCAAATTTAAAATTATTCTACAAGTCAGAACAAGTGTAAATTTAAAATCCCTTTTCAACACCTTTAAAGACAAATTTCTTAATAAGGTATTTACCTTGACAGTCTTGTCTTTTTACCCTACTTGCGTTCTTATTTTAATCTTAAATCATTTTCTGATGCCATCATGAACCTTCCACTTAGGAAATCGATGTTTCAGTAAATTGCTATCACGACCTCGGCCACAATGCCATCAAAAATATTCAGTCGTGTTACATATACAATTCTTGTTCAATTGTCTTGTCTCCAGGCCTCTGTATTTGTTATGTATGAATGCGGCACACGAGGACCGACATCCGTTGACGTCCAACTGTTTTCAGTTAAGTCACTACTACCACATAACAAAGCCGTCTGTAAAAGATCATTTAAATGATCATGTTTAAACGAACTATACGTTTTTCAATAGTTATATTAATTTTACCGATTCCTATCCATGTTGTCAGAGTCTCAAAGTAAACTTCCACGACAATAGTGCTAAGTGTAACAGAATATTTTTTTTGTGGACGTTCTGGACTAGGCTGTTGTCCACATTGGAACATAGTGTTACTTGAATCTGAAAATAACTGGAAATGAATGCAAATTACAGTAACGTTACGAGTGATTACCAAGGGCTTTTGCAGTGCGGAGTCGGTCCCCATGACATCGCAATAAGGTAACGGGAGAGGTGCGTGTTCAGTCGCCACCCACCGCTGCGCGAGGCGTGGTGGCCGGCGCCACGAACGCCGCTCTGGCAGTCAAATAGTCACCGTCGGTACGGCCTCGCGCTCGGAAAACTCGCGCTGGCGAGTTGTCTGCCAGTTTGCGCCAAAACGCTTGCTCGCCGCGCGTCCCACGCAGTTGTTTTGGTGCACATTTTTTGCAAGTCTGCTGCGCCCCTTTCGCCCACTCTCGTGAAGTGTCTGTGCAGTTTCGATGCTCTTCTCTCCTATCGCCGTCGAGGCGATGAAGTGTAAAGAGGAAAACTGCGAGGTTGGCGTGGTGCTAGAGCGCAACTCCTTGATCGTGTTGTCTGTCAACAAGACCATTGTCTGCCTATGCGGAAGGGATAGGAACAATCCCTTCGAGCGCGGGTAATTCTCATCGTTCCCGTTCTGGTACGACGCTAACTGATTACATGGCCTTATCTCCTCTCTACTAACAACTGGTAATCGTACATAATTAGTCTACAATCACAACGGTATCACTTGATTGTTTATGTGGGCTTGACAACCGGCCATGGCCGGATCACGCCTTAGTAATAATAACACATTGATTGCAAAGTAAGTTCTGACATATTTTTTAATTTTTTCGCGTGATATCCTTTCATACATTTAAGAAACCTGTATAATTTCAATTGGACCGAAGGTTGTCTTCGATGTGGTCAAGGCGGATTCCTTACGATTGGCCATATTCCGGTCTACTTATATCTATATTGTACGTGCTTTTAAGAAATTACACCGTAACAGGCCATTTTAATTTTATACTGTGTAAAAATATCCATATCCAGTGATTGGTTATCCAATCTATCGCCGCGCCGTTCTATTTAAGAACTTACAATTCTTTTGAATGAGTCAGAATGTTGAACCGTCGATGGACAAAAAGCTGGTCGTACCTACTGTCGCTATAATACTTTTTACAGTATGAACAGCTTGATGACCGAATGAAACGTACAAGGTCGTGGCCGTCCGTACAATGGCTTCCAACGAATAATGCTCTAAAGAAGCAAATAATTTATAGCTCATTAATATTTATACGGAATAATTAACTCAGTTCAGTCAAAACTGTGAAAAGTTTTGTTAAGATTTCATTAATTTTATTACTCTTTATTGAAATACAACGGTTAGATAATAAATCATGAATGATTAAGGAGTAATGCTGTTCTAAGCATGCGGAAGTGAATAGTAAATAGCCAAACGGAACAGAGACATAGAAGTTGTCAATAGAAAAGTAATTAGTATGCACGTGGTAATTTATAAAAGAAAAGGTTATACGGAGCGGAGGTTGCTCACGGTAACCTTCTATCTATATCGGTAACATGTTCACCTACGATCTGGGCAGGTGTGAACAGTGAACATGCAGGTGTGCGAGAGTACCGTATTTCACATTTAACAAAAGCTTGCCAAGAATTGTGTTCAAGATCAACGAAATGTTACCTGTCTATAAAATTTTTGAAAGTAGACGGTATCGATTTCCACAAATGTCGTATTACAGACGACTGCAGCCGCTTAAAATTTATGGACTGTATAATAGTTATCAGATACTCGATGGGTTATTCCTGTAAAGTTATGCATCATAAAGAATACAGCCATAAATCCATACTAGGAGAGCCATGCTTCGCACATCATGGCCTATTCGACCGGACGGATACCACGTGCGCACAAAAAACCCTGTGTAACGCAATTCTTTTTTGTCTTACATCGATTGAGTGAGGCTACTAGAGGTCCGAATCCCTCTTCTCCCTAATTCTGGTGGAGAGGAGCACATTACCCTTTAGTTGCAGGTCCATGGGTAGTAGTAGTCACTAATCAAGTAATCATCGAATGACCAATACGCAAGTTTGACACTATACCATAAAAATGCAGCTCTAAGACTGATTGTATCATTGTCCGATAGTAAAAACATATTAAAACGTATCAAAACCCCTGTTGACTCTCATCATCAAGTTTGACGTCAATACCAGCAATCGAACGTTATAACCATTTTATCAATAAAATACAGAATGAACATTATTGCTAGCCAATTAAGCTTCTTTGATGAGTTTATTTATTTATTAAACTTTATGCACTTTTGTACATCGGCGGACTTAATGCCCAGGACGTTCTTTGCCAGTCAACCTTTAGGTGGTGTATAATCTTGTAAGGCAGGTGCACAGAAATCAATGAAAAATACACGGTTTACTACAAACATAAAATTATACATATACACACATACAACACAACACATAAAAAGTATAGTATAGGTATGGGAAGTGGGAAATCATAAGAAGTTTTGTTTTTGGGTAAAACACAAACACTGTATCAGCGTATACAATTACCATGAACAGAGGTTACGGATTACGGTTATTAAGAAAACTGTGTATCCCCCAGATAAACAATGCCGTACCTAAATAATTATACAAGATAGCCTCTGATTGACGCAAGAGGAGGTCACAAAAAATAGACATTTGGCTGGTAGTGCTGTAATGATTGTACGACTTATTGTTTCATTTGTAAATAGCGTGTTGTGGACAGCATTTTGATGATAAATAAAAACCTAAATCAAAGAAGTTTTTGCTGACTGGAATATTCCGAAACCCAATTCTTTGAGTAACTAACTAAATTTTAAAAAGGTCTTGTTATGTATTATTATTTGGATGTCAAACAATCATGTACCGTAAAGTGAAGCTGTATGTATATATGGTTCTCTGAGTCCACGAGAGGCACAATCCTTTGTGCGTTCAGATAAACACTGCAACTATTAGTTCATTCATGAGAATGTTTATGCTTAGGTAGACTTAAGTAATTAAATATCATCACATAAGCCGTTCGTTATGTTTCTGTTTTGACACACGAAGTTGTAATATTACTTATGCTCTGTTCCGTCTCATTTATCTTTATTTTAGATTTTATTGTATAAACTAAACACATAGAAACCTATCATTCGAATATCTTAGAAATTACAATCAACTGATAAAAATAAATAAATAAACCTCCTTTCTAAGGAGAGGCCTATGTCCAGCAATGGACTATTAAAGGCCAATGAAAATATTGTTTAACAACAGAGCTGTCAAGTTACCAGTTGTGTCAAAATTAAATTTGACATAACAATTTGTAGTAAAATTTGACAGCCCTGTGAACTGATTCGGTGATTGAATCAAAACGCAGTTGCTTCATCATCCTTTTAGCAACTGGATATATATTCACTAAAGATTTAATATTTGATTATTTAATTATTGATCAGTTTTTCTGATAGCGAGCGTTAGTTTGAAATAAATTACACCAAGAAAAACAAAAGCCTGAACAAATCTCAAAATGTAATACACGTACATGACATCTGTGTTTTATTCGAAGAAACTGCTAGATTCTTTTCTTTTTCTATCTTATAAATCCTCTAGACGCATCTCAAGGGTAACGACTCATAATGGCTTACTACCTGTGTTTTTTATCCCACTATTCGAGTCAAAGCCCCGAAGCTTTGCTTAAGTTAGCCGTTGCTAAGGGCATTGCACCTTTCCACCGCTCTCCCTTGCCCTGCAGCCCTACTTTGGCTTTTGGAGTTGAAATTTTCCAATACGAGCCTCCTTTGCGTTCCTGCGTATGCAAGTGCTTGTATGAAAGAGATGCAATGCGAGCATACGGTGTGTCTGCTCCAAGTATAAACCCAGCTGTGCGTAAAGTATTAGCTATATATATATATATACTCCTGGATATGCATAGTTATATTGTGGACTTTGAACTCGAGTAATGGTGAAATGCAAAAGTACCACTGAATTGTTGCTACCTCATGGATCGATTTGAGTGTTTAACTTGCTAAAGTGATACTGGAACTAGTTTCCAGCCTATCGAACTTATAATTAGGTATATATTACTGAAGAAAAATTTTCAATGTGTTTTAGAAAAATCAGTAAACTGTCTGTTTTAATTTACGAAACTCTTATATATTTTAAACAGGTCCATCAAGAATAACTGATCGTCGAAGTACAAATTTAACCAGTTCTTCACTCACAGTGGGGGAATTTATGTATATGGTAATACCATCGATTATCGAGGGGCCCATAATAATTAAATAAGCGGGACAAACCAACGGTCGGGCCTTCTGGTGCGTCATAATCACTACGATACGATAGCGTGAATAGCGTCAGGCGCCGCCACGCCATCATTCGTAGTTTTCGCGTAAAACGGACATATCGTTGACGGTCCCCCACTTCCCCGCCTCTCTCACCCGCTATGTCGCCGCGTCACACGCGCGTCTATAAAAGCCATGCGCGCCCCTCCACTTCAACTCAGACGCATGGAGTACTCCGTAGAGGTCGTTTGGCACGAGCGAGCGCTTTGCTAGGCACCTGCCGGCCACACTTCACGATACAATTCTAGTCACCAATCGCGCAGCTGAAGCTCGCGTAACGCGGTCCGCCGCGCGTTCCTACGAACAGTGATATGTGCAATAGCCTTATAACAAAATAATTGTGATAATTTATTTAAATTAGTTATTAGTTAGGTACATTAGACCGCGATACGGCTGTGAGTGAAAACTGTGAAATTGAAATGTTGTGACTGCCCGACTGGAACTTGTTACCTGTGGTTCACTCCAGTGTGATCAGTTATTCTTGTATTGACGGACTTTTTAATACAATGGTTGGAAATAACGGTACTATGATGGCGATTCGCATCGTCCACAGCAAGCTGCGAAAGCGGGAGGAACACTCTGCTTCAGTACATCCAGCTGAAGTTCTTCAGGCTCCACCTGCACCCCAGCCAGAGCTTGCCTTCCGCCAACAGCCACTGTGGCAGTTCCCGCCGCCGCTGCCTCCGCCTTACGTCTATCCTCACGATCAGGTTAGTAAATAGTAATACTCAAAATAATAATAAGCAATCATAATTAAAAATTAATACTAACGGTCTATTTCAAGAACCAAAACCAGTTCTAGTCGTTATACTTGACCCCAATACTGATTTAACGAGCAGCAATGTCCAGCTGGAATGCATTTCAATTCGTAAATATCTCGCTTCGCCTCGACAACAAACAAACAATATTGAAAGTTGTACGTTGGGAAAGAAACATTATAATACGAAAGAAATCGTGACTGGTCCGACCCTCCCCGCCACTGAGAGAGAGTTGTTGGAACACGTAGTCACGATATCTAAGTGTGAAATAAATTTAAATGTCGGGACACGCTCGTTGGATAGAAAGCTGTACAAGGCGAGCATGTCGTAACACCACGACCTTCTTTCTTGCTGTCTGACGAACAAAAGAGGCTAATGCAAACGTCTGAATACAGTTTTAAGTTGTTAAAACACTGACCCCAATATCATGGTCTGATAACCATTTCCAGAGGCGAGGCTTACCTGTGAATTACCCATTCATTTGTTATATTGAAATGTACACTATGTTTGTACGGCGCGATACGTTTGTACGGCCACATATCGAGACAGCACACCAGGAAGTAGATAATGCTAATGTGTCTTTGAATAGCGTATTCAAGGCTTGCCTCATTCTCCTTTGGCCTCAACATTACTTCTGCTTTGCAATATTAGCTTCCTACTCATGTAACAGAGCTGATTCTAAACTTAAGAACACTCATCGGTTTCTTTATTTGAGTAAAGAAGCAAAACACGGTCTTTTATAGTATTACTTTAAAAAAAACGTTTCCTTCGAAACATAATAGGCGAGCGTTCTTTCTGTCACTGCCTGACAACAGTAAGTACAAAAATACCTCTAGAATTGTGACGTCGAGCAATGCAGATGCAGAGAATGCATTGAGGTATATACGAAACCAAAGTTTGGCAGTAAATTTACGGTCTTTTATAGTATTACTTTTTCTTTCGAAACAAAATAGGCGAGCGTTCTTTCTGACATTGCCTGACAACAGTAAATACAAAAATATCTCTAGAATTGTATGGTGTAACATCTAAGTTTGTTTGATGTCGAGCAATACAAATGTAGAGAATGCATCGGGGTAGATACGAAACCAAAGTTTGGCACCAAATTTAGGGTTAAAATACTTGTTTAAACTCTCGAACCTTGACTTTAAGTTGACCAAACTGACGTTCTTTTCTCTGTTGTTTACAGGACAATTTGATGCAGCCGCATGGCAACGAGCGTGCAAGTTTTCGCAGTCTTCGTAAAAACATCGGTGGTCGTTGGAAGCGACTGGTCAATAAAAAACCTGAACAGGAAGTCTATACGATCCCGCCCGAGCTCAAGCCCCAGCTCAAACAGATCTACGTGTACTAACAAACGCGCAAGACACGTTCTAGTAATTATAGCTGAAGCAGGATCCTTCGCTGCATTCATCTAAAGGCGATGACATCAACCTCAGCTCGACGGTTGTTAAACATCAACCCATATCATTTACTCGAATATCAAAATTGTAGCCTGCCTGGCGCAACAATATCTATCTTTTGAACATATCTTTTTCGACCAATTAATTCTAATGACCAATGTAACTAAAATGTTATCTTCATTCACTACTTCATTGTGATTTAAAGCCTAGAAATTGTATTATTAAGTATTAGAATTTGATGTTTGTGAGTGTAGTTCTGTTGCGGTTTGTAAAAGTACGAGTGATAGTCAAATGAATTTAGTTTAATTAATTTAAAGCTATGAATGTGAATTAGGAAGATGCGGTCGCGCATACTAGTGACGAAAATCCAATAATTATGAATAAACACTTATGATGCCGTGTTAAAAGTACTTTTTGACTATTTAGGGCATTTCGTAGTTCATTAACTTATTGTAGACATGATCGTATTCGTAAGTGGACACCGATCAAAATAGTTTATGAACCTGTACATGCTAAATGTATACTGTGAGTGAATCCCGACGTTTGAAACACCTCATTGTTTGATGCAGTATTTTTATATCATTCATTGTGTTGCGAGTGAGACTGAATTATGGTACAATTTTAAGTGTAACGTGACATCAAAATTTTTAAATAAAATACAAAATATTTTCTGATATTATTGACTGTAAGTAAGAAACGAAATATCAAACAATATCACGATGGAATTTCAAATGATCTAGATGTTGAATGTTACGTTGCTAGAAATGCTATTGTAGTATAATTTTCAGATTTTCGCCCGGTCCTTACTGTGATAAATTTAAAATGAAAGAATAAAGAAAATTTGAAGGGATGATGTAGTTTGAACTTGATATAGCCTTAATACCTTGTCAATTAAAGTCTAGCAAGGACCGATGGTCGAGAATTTTGATAGCTCATATTGAGCCTGATATTTTGGAGAAGTAAGCTGATTAGTTAATAGGTAGAATTCAGCCATGAATATATTTTAATCGAATTAACTGTCGCTGTAGAAGAAACCATGTTATTTCTGTAATTTTAACATCGTGAAAAGTTTTTGTTTTGAAAAAATGTAATCTTTCGTTGAAATATTGGAAAATAAATTCCATCATTATACTGAATAAATTGTTTCCTTATTAACATACTTCCATAAACCGAGAGAAAGTTGACACACGCTTTCGCTTGACACGCATCGTAAATAGAATTGAGGTTTTATGGTACAAAGTACAATATCTTAAATGGAGAGTGCCGATTAGATGCTGATATTTGGTGGGTTTTACCCAACATATAATATCTCATTGGTATTTTTCTACCTGGTATTCTTTGAACTGCATCAGAAACAAAGTACATATCTATTACAAAACCTAAAAGAGTGCATTTGTTTAACAACAATGAGTCACGATTTCCTTATTACTATTTTGTTTACCATATACAAAACTGAAAAGGTTTTAACTTGAAGTTTAATCGAATTAAAAAAAGCGGTCCAGATAAAATCTTGTAATTCGATATCAATGATGCTCCTTGTGTTATCCGTTGGTGGTTACCATATTAAAAACGAAACAGGCGCCCTCTAGTTTTTAAGTTTTATACTAATTTTAAAATGAAAATGTTTCCGAAAGCGCCATCTACTGAAAAAGTCTAGAACTAACTGGTAAGCGACATGTTCATGACATATGCTAACCAGTAAGTTTAGAAATTTTCGAACAGATGTCTCTTATTTTATTCACTATAAAATTGTGTAGCTAAATTAAGATTGTTTCACATTATCTTGCACAAAATAATGTTTGTGTTTTTCTCTTCGACATTAAAGGGCCTTGTAAATAATTAACCCTTTCGTTATGGTCGACCTGAGACCGACGTCCGTATGATGTCGGGGCTGACCTCAAAACCGCCTAACCTTTGAGGATTAGTTTGTATTAGGGAATTATCTTATTTAGTACGTAAGGATGATACTTTATAGTAGGTAGTAACAGTGGAAGGATATGTAATTAAACAACATGTAGGTATTTGAGCATGATATATTTATTTAATAGAGTCTTTGTCTAGGGAGACAGTAACCTAATGTTTATATTGAGGAATTTGACTTTGGTCTTCATGAATTTTCCGTCTCATACTAGTGTGTATATAATATAGCTTTGGCCGTGGCTCCGCCCGCGTGTATTTTGGTTAAAATCGCGTTAAAAAGTAGTCAAAATCGTTCCTCAAGAGTCAAGACTCAAAGTATATTTAGGCGGATTTAATTAAAATTGGTTCAGCGGTTTAGCCGTGAAAGCGTAACAGTCAGACAGCCAGAGTTACTTTCGCATTTATGATATTAGTAGGTGATTATTAGTAAGTTTCTGTACTGTAGGTACATACCATGGATTTCAAAATTCATTACTTTTTAAGAGAGCAAAAAAGCTGTTTCGTTGTGTATTGAAAAATACATCGTTGGGCAGTCAAATACGAATCGGGGTCGTATTTGACTGCCCAACGATGTATTTTTCGATTCCCTATTTAATGATATACAGAACACAGTTTTGCCAGAAACTGAAATCCACAGTGTGAAAAGTAGATCAACAAGGTGAGTATATAATATATAGTGATCAATTTCGATAGAAAATTATTTCTTTAGGACAGTAGGAAAAACTATTTTAAAATCAAATTTGAGCCTCCGATAATGAGTTCTAACTAGTATAGGTATATAAACACAACATACGTCTCAGGCATTTTATGTATTTTGTGGTCAAACAATTTTTTTTAATATATGTATGTACTCAGCAAGCTGAAGTGGCAGTGGGCTGACCATATTAGCCGCAGAACCGACAACCGCTGCGGAAAACGAGTTCTTGAGTGGAGACCGCGTCTCGTCAAACGTAGTGTAGGACGCCCACAGGCCAGGTGGAGTGACGATTTGCGCAAGATGGCTGACAGGAGCTGGTACGAGAAGCCCAAAATCGATCTACATGGCGTGCAATGGGAGAGGCCTATGTCCAGCAGTGGACTGCGATAGGCTGATGATGATGATGATGATTTTAGTACCTACAGGATTGGACAAATTCTATCTATTTAGGTTATCAGTATCATACAAGGGATATTTAATATATGCATGGTCTTCCTTGAAGCGGCAAATCCTATTAGTGGGTCTTTGCTAAAAAGAACATAATTATTAAATCATTGCCGTGTAATCAAATTTAAACCCAACCCAAGGCTTAATTTTTCCCGAACAAAGAAAATAAGGAAACCATGTTTATGTCATGGAACCCGCTCTACCCGTTTTCTATCACACTTGGCTAATTTTAGGCATCTTTAGTTGTACAAATTGCAGAAACAGGGTAAAAATGTCTGGAAAATAAAATTATCAGACAGCGGAATGAGATTGTATGAGTCAGCATAAAATAGGGAAAAGATGGGTGATCTTAAATGAATGCGTCATTTGGACAGCCCTGGGCAGACAACCAACCTTTTTTCAGCATTTTAAAAAGGTTGTTTATTATAATATCCGTTTTGGACCAACAAATTTACTTTAGTCATACATATAATTAAATTTCCTAAAGTGTTAACTTGTTACTAAATGGAAGCGTTTTAAAGATATTCATAGGTATAAATAAAACATTACGTATACCTAAGTAATTATACATATTTAAATAATTTTATTATTTAAAATAAATAAATTACACTCTATACGAAGTTTATTAAAAAGAAAAGCTGTGTCCATACTAGTAGTATTATAAATGCGAAAGTGTGTCTGTCGGTTTATTTGTCTGTTAATTATTCAAGCTTAAACCGCTGAACCGGTTAAGATGAAATTTTGTATAGAGATAGTTTTATCCCGGGAAAGGACATAGGATAGTTTTATCCCAGGAATCACCCTTCTAGGAGGTCGAAGTTTGTATGGGAAATCAATAACCGCTGAATCGATTTTAATGAAATTATGGCGTAGAGAGAATTTGGTTCTTGAGTAAGGACATAGGCTACTTTTTACCACGATAACCGATAAACACGCGGGCGAAGCCAGGGACAAAAGCGAGCAGTTAATAAAAATGAAAGGCTGTTCGAGGGTACCATATCACTGGGAATCTCTGGACTAAATTTGACTAATTCTTTTTATATGTTAATACAAGGTGGCCGTGTAGGTCCGTGTGGTGACGGATTAAGAATACAGAGTGTCACCACCCCTATTCATCCCGTGAGTGTGGTAAGAGGCGACTAAGGAAGCAAACTACGCAGGACAACAGCACTGCAGAGAGAAGGAAAACTTGAAACAAACTCTATACCAACCCGTCTGGCCAGCGTAGTATAGTAGGCCAAAATCTCCTTTCTAAGGAGAGGCCTATGTCCAGCAGTGGACCAGCAAAGGCTGTTGATGATGATGATGATGATGACTAGGTGGCACCTTCACGATTTCATTCGCGTGTAATTTGAATTGAAAATGTTAGTTGAATTTGTCGAATTAACTAACGAAAGCGCTGCCTTAGTGGTATAGTACGGTACGCGATTGCCGTCCATGAGGCCTCTGGTTCGATTCCCGGATCGGGCATTGTAGGGTCTGTCTGAGAGGAAAAACATACTAAGTTACTCCTTATATGACAAACAGACGGACCAAAAAATTTTAAACTGGTTTTTAGGCACAGGTACCGTGCAAATAACCGTGTGAGAATTAAAAAAAAAATATTATTTTGACAATACATACAGATACTTTTATTTATTTGTATAGATGAGTCTATTTTGGGGCAGTCTATTTAATAGGGAAAGTCAAAGTTAGTTTTTTCATAACATTAAAAACTTCTTTCTAAAACGTTCACTAAACATTTTTTGACACAGTGCAATGTATTATTGCTAGATTGTCCGAACCATGGGGTGTTCTTCCGAAGGCAATACTAAAAATAACGTACATTCGGTAGGTAAGTATAGATGCGATTACTGGCTCGTCTTGCCCGCGGGAAGCACGTGACAG